CCACGATCTCTTATTGTGTGTGTGGACGTAGTTGAATAGTCACAACGAGTATCTTTAGTTTGGTGTTGTGGCAAGACCTGACACGGAGTGGGTCGGGGTCTGGGGTGTTATTACGTGTTGGATAACCTCGGGTGTGTGTGTGTGTGGGGGGGGGGGGTCCTGTGGAGTGGGGGGGAGGGCTGCTGCTGGAGACGTTGATGGACTGGTGCATGTGAAGGGGGGCGGGGGGGGGGGGGCTGAGATGCATTACACACAAGGCTCTAGCACGCATTCTAGAATTTAAAGCCACTGCACTGGTGTATATCATATATCTGGCTGTGACTGGGCTCAAACCGGAGTGGTTGTACTTGCTCCAAATTTAATATTAAGAATATTTAATGACATTGACAAAGTATAATGATGACTAACAATAAAATATTGCCCCTTTACATTGCTTACAGACTCCGTTTATGACCACAGGAAGTGGTTCTGTACTTCCTGTACTCCTCATCTATCTAGCACTTCCTGTACTCCTCATCTATCTAGCACTTCCTGTACTCCTCATCTATCTAGCACTTCCTGTACTCCTCATCTATCTAGCACTTCCTGTACTCCTCATCTATCTAGCACTTCCTGTACTCCTCATCTATCTAGCACTTCCTGTACTCCTCATCTATCTAGCACTTCCTGTACTCCTCATCTATCTAGCACTTCCTGTACTCCTCATCTATCTAGCACTTCCTGTACTCCTCATCTATCTAGCACTTCCTGTACTCCTCATCTATCTAGCACTTCCTGTACTCCTCATCTATCTAGCACTTCCTGTACTCCTCATCTATCTAGCACTTCCTGTACTCCTCATCTATCTAGCACTTCCTGTACTCCTCATCTATCTAGCACTTCCTGTACTCCTCATCTATCTAGCACTTCCTGTACTCCTCATCTATCTAGCACTTCCTGTACTCCTCATCTATCTAGCACTTCCTGTACTCCTCATCTATCTAGCACTTCCTGTACTCCTCATCTATCTAGCACTTCCTGTACTCCTCATCTATCTAGCACTTCCTGTACTCCTCATCTATCTAGCACTTCCTGTACTCCTCATCTATCTAGCACTTCCTGTACTCCTCATCTATCTAGCACTTCCTGTACTCCTCATCTATCTAGCACTTCCTGTACTCCTCATCTATCTAGCACTTCCTGTACTCCTCATCTATCTAGCACTTCCTGTACTCCTCATCTATCTAGCACTTCCTGTACTCCTCATCTATCTAGCACTTCCTGTACTCCTCATCTATCTAGCACTTCCTGTACTCCTCATCTATCTAGCACTTCCTGTACTCCTCATCTATCTAGCACTTCCTGTACTCCTCATCTATCTAGCACTTCCTGTACTCCTCATCTATCTAGCACTTCCTGTACTCCTCATCTATCTAGCACTTCCTGTACTCCTCATCTATCTAGCACTTCCTGTACTCCTCATCTATCTAGCACTTCCTGTACTCCTCATCTATCTAGCACTTCCTGTACTCCTCATCTATCTAGCACTTCCTGTACTCCTCATCTATCTAGCACTTCCTGTACTCCTCATCTCCACCTTATAACCCAATCCCTCGTCAAGATTTCTTGTGATCCTGTGGTCCCGGGTTCGATCCCGGGCGCCGGCGAGAAACAATGGGCAGAGTTTTTTTTCACCCTATGCCCCTGTTACCTAGCAGTAAAATAGGTACTGGGGTGTTAGTTAGCTGCCACGGGCTGCTTCCTGGGGGTGGAGGCCTGGTCGAGGACCGGGCCGCGGGGACACTAAAGCCCCGAAATCATCTCAAGATAACCTCAAGAATGATCCTTCCTTATCCTCTTCCTTCCACTCTCCTTACCAGCTCTGGGCACCAAAACACCAACCATCTTCTTGAGGTTATCTTGAGATGATTTCGGGGCTTTAGTGTCCCCGCGGCCCGGTCCTCGACCAGGCCTCCACCCCCAGGAAGCAGCCCGTGACAGCTGGCTAACACCCAGGTACCTATTTTACTGCTAGGTAACAGGGGCATAGGGTGAAAGAAACTCTGCCCATTGTTTCTCGCCGGCGCCCGGGATCGAACCCGGGACCACAGGATCACAAGTCCAGCGTGCTGTCCGCTCGGCCGACCGGCTCCCCGACCATAGGCTGCCTTGGAAGCAAAAAAAAAATCGACCTTGGTGGTTATATCCTCCTCGCTGCCCCCCCCCCCCCCCCCACACTGGTATGACGCGAATCATCTACTCAATTACATGATTGTAATACGGATCGGGCCGTTTTTATTTGATAAGGGGAATTTTTGTTTTTAAGCAGTAAAGCAGTATGCTTTTTATTGCTCCCGTTCAAAAGGGCAATCTGACTTTCTTGTGTATTGGGCTTTGTTATCCCCCCCCCCCGCCCCTACTCCCATTTGTATTCCGATCTTTCTTTCGTCCCATTTTCTAATTTTTTTTCTTCCATCCTTTGGTGTCACTCACCTCATCTGCTCTCCCCCCCTACCTCCTTCCTTTCCCGGAAGAATGAATGGCAGCTCATTTTTTTTCCGGGAAAGAAGTAGCACGGGCTATGGTGAGCCCGTAGGACTTACCTGGCACAGGAGCGGGGCTCAAACTGGACCCCAGTCAAATTGTTGCTTGTATAGTGAATTTGAGAATGTGAGTACTTGATAGCGTTAACATAGATTATTTTGCGTATTTGGAGGAAGAGGCACAAGGGGGAAGTGAGGAGGCTGGAAGGAGGAAGACGAGGAGACGGGGAGGGGGGAGGAGCCTGATGAGGAAGGAAGTGAAGGGAGGATAATTTTGAAGGATGACACCGAGTGATAGAGAGAAGATGGAGTACTCGGGGTTGCCTTGTTGTGAAGGACAATAATAGTACAGTGAAGGGTATACTGGTGACAAGGGTGGAGCCAAAGGGGAAATGTTTCCCATGTCACCCAGGCAGGGACACATAGGTGGAGCAAACATAGAACAAGGTAAGTAAGTTAGTGATGGTTTTTGTGGTGTTGGCGGCCTTGGAGTCCGTTGTGGTGGTGGTTGGGGACGGACACCCACAGCCTCAGCCCCGTTACTATGCCTCCCTCACCTCACCTGTGCATACTAGGTTACCTTACAGCCCTAATCCATGCCTCCATGTGCCTCTTACCTGCCTTCCTCTTCACATACCTTCCCACTCGTATTTCCCATCTCAGTCATCATTGTTTACGCGTAAAAAAGGTGGGATAGTGAAGAGAGCATAACCTGTATTGGTGACGTTAGGGGGGGGGGTACAAAATCCCCTCGAATGCTTTTTTGTTCATTTCTCCAAAACTATGGTTCCCCCATTTCAATTAGAAATAGTAGCCTCCTTCCATTAAAAAAAAAATATATATATATAACGTGCAGGTCTCGTAAGGTGTGATATGCACGGGTAGTGTTGGCCTTGAGTTTACGTCATGTGGTTTATAAGAGTGTTGTTACATGCGAGGATTACTATATGGTGGAGTGATAAGGCTGGGTAGTGTTGCTCCCAAGCCTGCTCCAGCGAACAAGTAATGGCAGTGTATACGCTGCCTCCTGCGTGCTGCTCAGAAATACCGTATGAGGCTAGGCTTGGTTTATGGATTTGATATGTATGCAAGGGTTTAGGAAGTACATGGACGCGCTCACCCTGACATCATCAGTGGGTTAGGTTAAAACTGGGGGTTCATAAACTACATTTAGCTTTATATATATATAATTCCTATTTTTTATTGGTTAAATCTTGTATGTTAGTTTATTCGTGTGTTAGGTTTAAATGTAAATGGAATAAATTCTCCGTTTACATTTTGTCCAAAATATTAAATTCTTCAACGGTTATAGTGCACCATGTATTGTACATTGATGAGACACCTTTTATATGGATGAATTGCTTAACATGTGTATTAATGTTATTGACGATTGACTATAATGTGTGTGCATGTATAGATTAGTTACTATCTGTGGCGCAAGAACGGCTTCGGGGGAGTGATAAGAACTAAGCTCTTGTGTTTTCCCGCGCGCGCGGCCCGCCAGCTGGTAAACACAAGAACGTGTTGACCAGACCACACACTAGAAGGTGAAGGGACGACGACGTTTCGGTCCGTCCTGGACCATTCTCAAGTCGATTTTCGACTTCAGAAAGGTCCAGGACGGACCGAAACGTCGTCGTCCCTTCACCTTTTACTGTGTAGTCTTGTCAACATACTTTAGCCACGTTATTGTGACTCATCGCCGAACGTGGTTTCATGTGATCGTGTTGTTTATATCGAGTGTGTGAAACCATACACGTTTCTTTGGTGTGTTTAACTTGAGGGATTTCTATTAAAAGACTTATTGTAATATGCGTCCGTAATGCATTCCCAGCAATGCAGAGAGGTTTTGGTTACGGCTGTGAGGTATGAAATGACTAGGACTAAAATATTAACATGTTTGGCGTATTATGATTGACGGGAACGGATAATGTATTTTATACTTAGGTTTTTTTTCTGGTATTGGTGGGCGCGATCGTTAGTGCTAATTGGGCAGTATTTGCCATGAGGTGAAATACTTGAAATTATAACGTGTGACGCGTTACACGATTTAGGCGGATGATTTTCCGGCATAGTTTTGTTTTTAGTAGGTCAAGGTTGTTCTCTTTATCAGCTTGTAAATATAGAGTGGGGCGCCGGAGGGGCCAGTAGAGTTCACCCCTCAGATATGAACTCTAATTCGAGAAGTAGTAGTTCGAGTAGAAGAACTTGATTTTGGTTAGGAATCGAGTAAGCGAGCGACTGAGGTGAAAGGTATGGAACAAGTTATGCAGTGAGCAGAGTACTTTTTTCAGGAGAGGCGAGGAGAGTGGGTAGTAGTAGCGTTACCGCTGGGTCGTGCCGCATTCACACCCACACTCGGCTACTTAAACCGCCTAACTACCCAACAAATTTCTGAAAGGGAACATACATTTATATTAAAACGGGAACGTCAGATATGCTGTGGAGGGAAAAAGCTGTATTAGCGTTGGTCCCCACCTGCTTAGACGCGAAGGGAGCGTTGTTCCAGGTGGGGACGATGTCGCAGGAGAGCTCTGTGGGGTAGTGGTTCTCGCAACAGGATCCACGTCAACAGAAAATTTGTTTGTGTGCGCGCTGGCTTTATATACCAGTTATGACGCTGGGGGAGGAGCTAGTAGGTGCCTCGGGTGATGGAAGTGCAAGGTCCACTAGCGGGGGTGATGGGGGGAGCAAGCAGCGGACGTCAAGGCCCACATCACGGATTTACAGGATTTGAAGTTTGGAAGGGTTGGAGGACATTGGCAGAGGAAGATATTGTGAATGAAGTATAAACAGAGGGAGAGGCAGAGTGTAAACAAAGTTGATGTAATGATAGTGGGTGTGATGTAGGAGTTACCTTTGATTTGGAGAAGGTGAAGGAGCATCGTGGAGGATGGAGGTACGGGAGCTGCATGTCAATGTTGTGGCGCGGCATGGGGAGAGGCGAGACCAAGCACAGGACACGTGGGTTAAGTTTAGTTGTTATAGGCCAGAGGTTAGAGTCCTGATAGAAGGCCAGGTGCACCCTGCTGGAAACGCCATTGACGCAGCCAAAAAAAAAAAAAAAAAAGGATTGTTTCCCCTGTATGTACTAGGGTATGTTTTCCTTTTGGTGTTGACGATAATACTAGCCTAATCCTGCGTCTGTTCAGCTAATGCACAAAATAAATATGTATATTTGTTCATTTAAATATGTATAAGTGTACAAGTTATTTACAAAGTGTTATTTTCATAAGTCAAATGTTTGCTGTTAAGCCTATATAATCCACATTCAGTATCGGTGAACTGAATATAGTCAAAGGGTCACATTATCAGTAGGTGTCTTGTTTCTTGGCCGCCGCATTGTCGAAGTAATAAAATTCCATAAGGTCGACTTGCCTGCCAGCGACGCACATGTTTGTCCACACACACACACACACACACACACACACACACACACACACACACACACACACACACACACACACACACACGCACGCACGCACGCACGCACGCACGCCAACTTCTATCATGAGGATGAACTACGCCTCTGAGCACAACATTGAATATTGAAAATATTCAGTTATGTTGTTTTTATATTTAGGTCTTTGCTGGACACGTGATCTTGTGGTCCCGGGTTCGATCCCGGGCGCCGGCGAGAAACAATGGGCAGAGTTTCTTTCACCCTATTCCCCTGTTACCTAGCTGTAAAATAGGTACCCGAGAGTTAGTCAGCTGTCACGGGCTGCTTCCTGGGGGTGGAGGCCTGGTCGAGGACCGGGCCGCGGGGACACTAAAGCCCCGAAATCATCTCAAGATAACCTCAAGAAGGTCCATATATAGGCAAAGAGACTCAGAGTCCTGACACGTACGCAGGCCGTATCATGCACGTACACAGGCAATGATACATGTATATGGCATAAAGGATACTTGGGTGAGAGAAGACAGCTTGTCCACTGCGGGTGGACAAGTCACACGCCATGGTCACAAGTCACAAGCCATGGTCACACGTGGGAATTGAACACAGACGAGCCAAAAAGATTTCGTAAGAAACTTCAATTTAAAGTTAACAAATGGAACGCACCAAGTAAGGACAAGGAAAACCTAACCTTGGATTCAAATAATATTTGATGAAAACTTGGCCTTTTGATATTTGAAATACGCGAATGTGTTCTCAAAATGATGTTTTGTTTATCCTTGGAATATAAATAAATTTTCTTTTAAGTAATTATTATGCTTCCTTGCACTAGTGTATTTGTGGGGGGGGGGGTTGTCTGGGATGTACTTTTTGCACTCTGCAAAAAAATGGGTACATGTTGAGCGCGGGCGTCTAGTCCAAGTTTTCTTGTCAAACACTAGAAAGGAGAAGCCTGTTGTGTAGATAAATTTCTGAACCGGTACTCGTAATACCTTGGAGCTTAGCTTAGTGACGAGGCACGGTATAGAGTCCAGGTGTGACGCCTCTTATCTTTCATACACGAGTTAAACCGTCTGATAAAATAGCAAGTCTCGCGCTGTGTGACTTCATGGACTGTCGTAACCAATGTTGTTGTTTTGGTAACGTCGCGTCGCCGTTATCTGTCGTAGCAGTCACTACCTTTATTTCCACGATACCACATGACACAACCTAGGTCATAAAAGTATTTGTGTGTACGTCTGATACCATACTACTTGTGAAGGAGGAGATGTATATGTTTATCTCACAGAATGTTTGGTAATATGTTTATTGTTTGTGATGTGTGTCTATGTATGTATTAACACGATGTACTGAACGGGGTGAGAATAGCTTGAGCTACCTCATCCCTTTGTGTGTATTTTACATCAATAAACTTATTTCAATTTCAATTCAACTTGACACACACGGGCGGCAATTGGTGAGGGGCTTCAGTTACCTCTTTACTTCATATAAGGGGTCTAGAATGGGTAGGGAATTGGCCCAGTGGTAACAAGCTCGTCCCGCATCTTCCTAGCGATTTTGGTCTGGGTTCGAGTACTGGGCCAGGTTTCAGCAAGTATTTACGCATCTGCTTACGAACCTGAACATCTTTCCTTAATCTTTGTCGGTTTTGTTTACATTTATTAAACAGTTTACAAGCATCTAAAATTCACAGTCAAATGTTGTTATTGCTATAAACATCCTCCTAGTGCTTCGGAGCTCATAAACTGTTTCATAATTATGAACAAGGCCGCCGAAGATTGAGAAAAGATTATATATTTGTAAAAACTAGCGTAACTGTTGTGGGGCCTCGTAGCCTGGTGGATAGCGCGCAGGACTCGTAATTCTGTGGCGCGTGTTCGATTCCCGCACGAGGCAGAAACAAATGGGCAAAGTTTCTTTCACCCTGAATGCCCCTGTTACCTAGCAGTAAATAGGTACCTGGGAGTTAGTCAGCTGGCACGGGCTGCTTCCTGGGGGTGGAGGCCTGGTCGAGGACCGGGCCGCGGGGACACTAAAGCCCCGAAATCATCTCAAGATCATCTCAAGATAACTGTTTGATGGATCTAGGTCCTGGCCAAAGAGGATTGATAGATCGCTAGTCCTTAACGGTTCACTTGTGTTCAACCAACAGTAATTGGGTACCTGGTTGTTAAACGATTAGCGGGTTGTGTTCCCGGGAAACTAGTGGGTAAGGCTTACGGTAAGCTATTGGAAGGGAAGCTCTCGGCCTGCTAACAAGTGTTAGAAGTTGATTGTTCCTGTGCCCACTTGTGTTAAAAAAAAAAAAATGGGCCTGTGACTATTCCCAGACAGAGTGAAGTATTTTGGAACGATACCTTATTTATACCAAATACCTGCGATCGCAGATATATCATGCACAGCACCGCTCCTGTGCCAGGTAAGTCAACTACGGGCTCACCATAGCCCGTGCTGCTTGGAACTTGTCCCGAGTAGCTGAATCTATAACAACAACAATTGATCGCATGGTGTTAAGTAGCCATTGTGGATCGTATCCTGTGGAAGGTCAGTTGTTGCATAAGACGACCTACTTAATCCTGACAGGCTACCTGTCCCCCAACAGTGTTAAACCATATGGTGTGGGACCCGGCAGTGGATGATAGGGTTTTTGGTGACAAACCCAGGAATTAGTTTTATCTCATGACGTCAGTGATGATGTCATACTGTAAATTCTACCCCCCCCCATTCTTTTTTTGATAATTCCTAATTTTTTCTTCTTCCTCTTGTAACTTTTTTGTGTGTGTTTATCTAGAGCCAGCTGCTCACTTGACCACTAATTTTGGTTGCCAACCGCTGGTGTAGACCTACAAATACAAAGAAGTGTCTGTTTGTTATCAACCAGTGACACTGACTACCACGTTACCCACGACCTGTCCTCAGAACAATATAGCACCTTATCCATGTTGACCAAACCACACACTAAAAGGTGAAGGGACGACGACGTTTCGGTCCGTCCTGGACCATTCTCAAGTCGACTGAGAATGGCCCAGGATGGACCGAAACGTCGTCGTCCCTTCATCTTCTAGTGTGTAGTCTGGTCAACATAATTTAGCCACGTTATTGTGACTCATCGCCTGCACCTTATCCATAGCTATTATGGGGTGGAATATGTAAACTACAGAGGTGTCTGTGAAGCAGTACTCTAGTGTTCGGTGGTAGAACTGTATTATAGTATTTATCATCGTTGTATGTATTTGTTTACATTTATTTATTTATTGTATTTGTGCTCCTTTTTTTTTACTGTTAATTGTATCTGTTGTTAGTGAAGGAAAGGGAAGGCGACCTCGATGATTACATTCCTGACGAGATATAAGGTCACGATGGGAGAGTTATCGCCTGGAAGTTCTGTTATTGTTCCAGGCTGTTAAATCAGTGTGTTGTGTGCTTGATTACGTTTGCTTCCCAGTGTTTGTAAACAAAAATATTTAATGATTTGAATAAGTTAGAAGAATGTGGTAGATACATCGTAAATGTCAAGATTGAGGTTTTAGGTTGAAAAAAAAGTATAGTACGAAACTAGAGAAATAATTTTAGATTTAGCATTTTAATGTAAGGAGAATGTTACACGTTACATTATTGGATCTTGGGAGCCGGTCGGCCGACCGGACAGCACGCTGGACTTGTGATCCTGTGGTCCTGGGTTCGATCCCAGGCGTCGGCGAGAAACAATGGGCAGAGTTTCTTTCACCCTATGCCCCTGTTACCTAGCAGTAAAATAGGTACCTGGGTGTTAGTCAGCTGTCACGGGCTGCTTCCTGGGGGTGGAGGCCTGGTCGAGGACCGGGCCGCGGGGACACTGAAAGCCCCGAAATCATCTCAAGATAACCTCAAGATTGGTTCAAGTTGTGTTTGTTTTATTTACTAGCAGCTGGAGGGAGAGATATGGTGGGTAGAGCGGAAGGTAGTGTGTTGAGAGGTGTTACTACCAACACCGTGGGCAGCACGGCCAGACAAACACTGCGTAGCTCAGTGGCGGGGAGAGGCGCCAGGCTGCAGGTGATGCAACGCAGTCAACATCTTGCTGGATGCTGGGCCGTTGACACCTACCCTCCTGTGTTATTTTTACTCTGTCATATCCTAAGTCATTCTTAGTCCTTTGACATAGCTTAGTCCTGTGCCCCTTTGCTCTCGTACTGACATCATG